GAGAAGCCTGTTTTCCACAAAAACAGAAATATGGATATGGACATGCAGTCTGCAGACATCTCATCCCCGGCTCCTGACAGCTCAGGAGGGTTCAAGGTGCTGGGCTTCTGAACAAACACAAGTGGTCAAAAGTGCCCTTGAGCCTTTCTCCCCTACCTGAGCAGAGATGAGGCAACAAGGGGCACGGAGCCCAAAGCACAGGTACTTACGTTGTCAGGCAGCCAAGAAGAGACAGTCATAGAACATGGTGCCCCTGCCTGATCCCAACCCTGCTGTGCAGCCGTCCCAGGTGCCCAGCACTGTGGGAGCAACAGATCATGCAGGTGGCTTTATACCTGCAACCTAGGGGAACTAACCCCCACCATGAGCTCACAGCTCCCTCGTGCCCTCTTAGGTAAACAACTGCTTCATGCAGGCTGCTGAGGGGCCTAGGGCCAGGGCAGGAGGAAGGCTGGTACCCAGGGATGCTATCCATCAGAGGCGTGTCATGCTTCACACACATATTGCTAAGTGATTCATGGGGCAGCAGGGAAGTGGAGAGGGTCGTGCCCCGAGACACACTGGCTACGAGATGCTTGCCCAAGCTGGGATGTCATCTGGCCCATCCTCTACATGTAGCCTTGCTTATTCCTCAGCAGCTTAGGGACCAAGGTCAGGCAGTACAGCTACATGCCTGCTCTCAGTCTCCAGTACAGCCTAAAGGGACAAGGACTCAGGCCCACTTTCCTAGGATCTGGCAGTGGGTAAGGGGTAGGAGTCCAGAGAGGTAACCCAACCTCCCTCGGAGCTGAAGGGCTACATGGCAGGAAGAACAGTAGACACTGTTTCTGGTATACCAGGTGCTGCTCTAGGGGCTTGAAGCGGGGACTTGCCTTTCTCACTCATTTGCAGGTGACTTTTTATCATGGGGGGGGCGGGGCTGACCTGGGTCCTAGTCTCCTTGTATGCCCAAATTGCCCAGCTCCACACACCAATCCCAAGTTGCTGGTCTTATTAGCCAGGGTCACACAGACTGGCTCAGGAAGCTGGGGCCCTCAAAGATACTTCAAGGTTGAGGTTTCTGTACTAGGGCTCTGCTTCCAAACGGAAAGGGGCCTGGTGAGGCCAGGAGACTGGCCCACCTGCCTAAGAGCATCCAATTATGCACCAAATATGGCCAGATTATGTTAAGGTTGTCAGGGGAGATGTCCTGTAGCTCTTCCCAGGCCTACTTGGGTGGCTACACCAACTCTAAGCAGTAATAACTAGGTTTTACTGGAATCTTCTCTCAAAAATGTCTTAGGCTTCTCTGCACCCCTGAAAAAGCCCTCTCCCTCAACCCCTCTGAAGGAAATCCAAGCTTATTTAGAGTCAAAGGCTCCTCCCCCCACCCCCATACATGGGGTGTTTGGAATAAAGGGAGTCAGGCCTAAACTGAGACCCATGGAGGACTTTCTGTGGCTCAGAATGGGAAGTCACACAGGGCATTGTCCCCAGTCACTTGCAAGGTCCCGTGGCTGCTCCTTGAGCTAGACCCCCTGCAGCTGCACACCTGGGGGTCTGCTCCAGTCAGGCATCTCTCCCAGAAGCAATCCTGTCACCACCTGCTTTGGGGTGGCCCTTAAGGACCCAGACTCTTCCCTACCTATCAACACCAGGAGGGTGAATGGGCCAAGGACTTCCTAGTTGTGTTTTGAGAGGGGAGCTGGGAGAAAGTAAGGGAAAATGTGGAGTCCAGGGCAGCTGTGTCTGTTGGCCATCTTTCTTCTGAGCATGTGCATACGCAGGGAGGCCCTGAAAGCTAGGGTTAGGAGGCAGAGCTAACTTCCTGTTTGAACCAGATAGCTCGAATCCTGCATGTGGTCATACTTCCTCCAGGGACCTGGCTCTCCCACCTGTCCCCATGTCCACCCCTCAGCCTAGAGAGAGCGAGCTAACTCTTCAGGGAGCTGAAGGCAGGCTCAGGAGGCTCAACTCTGGCAGCCTCCCCAGCCAGGCCCTCTTTCTCAAGGGTGGATAAACAGAGCTGTCCCCCTCTCTTCCGCTTGCCCGTAGGAATGGGATGAAACAGACAGTCAGGGCAAGGCTCTGGGCCCTGCTGTCCCAGGACCTTAGATCTTCTTGGACCTCAGTTTCCCCATCTTCACTGGAGATGCTGACAAGCAGCACCATTTCCCTCTTGTGGACATGGCCCTCTTGACCTCCGAAGACCTAAGCTGAAGGGCAGCAGAGAAGCCTGCGCTGCTGCAGCGCCCCCTGCAGGCTAACTAGTCTGGTCACACCCTCCTAGCCTACAGCCACCTCCTTCCACCTTAAATTCTAGAGGCCTCAGGGGAGGACAGGGATTAAGAATGTGCACTGTCTGACCAGGGATGGAGAGATGGCTCAGAGGTTTAGAGCACTGACTGCTCTTCCAGGGGTCCTGAATTCAATTCCCAGCAATCACATGGTGGCTCACAACCATCTACAATTCAACCTGGTGCCCTCTTCTGGCATGTAGGCAGAACACTGTGTATGTGATAAATAAATAAATCTTAAAAAAAAAAAAAGAATGTGCACTGTCTGACCAGGGAAACCTGAGCTCCCTCCTATTGTCACCAAAGTCACTTCAGGGCAAAGCATGCTAGGTCCAGGCTCTTACTTGTACTGTCTAGCCTCCAGGAGCAGGGGCAGCCCCTCCCCCTGCAGTGAACTTGCAGGGCCCCTGGTCAGTCCTGATTGCTCTTGGCTCAGGAGCTGGCCTGGGCACCTCCCCGTTTCCCTTCTCTGGTGTCAGCTTCCCTTTCCTCAAGGACTGGCTCACATGGTCAGCCTGGGAAAGGGAATAGGAAGACCCCAAAACAGAAGCTGGAAGGTAGCCTCTTTCCCCTTCCTCAGAGCTCATGGAGGCAACAGCCTTGTAGGGGTGGGCTCACTCCTGCCAGGACTGAAGCGGTGGGGTGGCATTCCCCAGAACCACTGTGAAAAGCAGCCAATAAGCCACTGTCTAAGCCAGAGGTGTGAGCCTGGCAGAGAGACCCTGTAGACAAGAGCTGCAGACTACCTTATGTGGGCCTTGTCCTCTGTAGCACACGGTCTCCCCACCCAACAGCCAGTGAGAGTGGCCTAGTTCTGTCTGTAGCCGGGTCCTTAAAAACCAGGAACTCCCTCAGTGTGCCATGAAGAGCTGGGAGAAGCCAAGGCAGATATAGGAAGTATGCAAGATGTTCTAGGGCCTGGGTCAGTGTGCCTGTTCCAAACCCTGCTCTGAGGACATCAGATGCCCGCAGCGGAAACCTGCGGTGGGCCACCCAAGGGCAATGGGATGCTAGGTAGATGGCCTCGAGTAGTTGTGCTAGGCCAGTCCTGAATCCATCAGTTATTACACAACGACCAGAGATATACCCTCTCCTCAAAAACATCACCACATGATGACAACTTAAGAAAAGTGAAATAACATGATGAGTGAGAGTAGACCCAGGGGAGGTGACTTCTGAGGAAGGAACCTGGTGATGACAGGTGGCAGAGGGTTAGGCTGGGTATGCTTGAGGCAGAAGGTGCCAGGGTAAAAGGGGAGGAAGCAGGCTAAGCTAGTGGTCTGGCATGGGACAGGAGACTAAAGCTGAAGCAGTCATGACTGGGCAGAGCTAGAGGCTGTGGGCCAGACAGGCACTTGGTGCTTATCAGGAAGCCCATGATGTGGAAAAGAAACATTTGAGGCGGGATCTTGATATGGAGCTCAGGCTAGCCCGGAACCCTGAATCCTCTAGCTACACCCTCCCCAGTGTGTGTATAGGGTTTATCACCACACCTGACTTATGGTGTACTTTTAAAGTCCTTTTTGAGGGAAGCCAGCCTTCTAACACTGCAAACTCCCATGCCCTAGGGGCCTCTCTAAGGAATCTGGGCCTAAGTGACAGTCAGGGACAGGTTCCTTGTGGCTGCTGTGAGAGCAAGGCACCAGAGGCTTAGTGCTGGCCATGGAAATGGCAGAGGTGGCGGGCTGGGTGGTTAGGACGCGAGGGTGGGGTGGAGCAACAATATTCATAGGCAGGACGGCAGTGGATGCTCAGCTGGGTGGGGGGAGGGAGACATCTCAGAGGAGGCCCTTCAGGGAGACAGTGGGGTTCTGAAAGCCAACTGTCGCAGGCTTCAGAGACCAGTGTGACCTTCCATAGCTGTACCTAGAAAGACTAGTCAGTCACAAGATACCTGGGCTCAGGGCAGAGGCCAGAGTGGAGACCTCAACAGGAACATGGGAAGTTTAGACACTGGTGGATCTGGTGGCATACACCTGTCATCAACCTCTGAGGAGGCTGAGGCAAACAGATGACAAGGGGAAGGCCAGCCTGGAATACAGAGTAACTTCAGGACTAGGGTGGGCAACTTATTGAGACCCTGTCTCAAAATAAAAAGTAAAAAGAGGGGTAGAGATGCAGCTCATTGGTAGAGCACTGGCCTAGACTGTGTGAAGCTCTAGATTCAAACCCCAGTACTGGGAAGGAGGGAGGGGATGGGAGCCATGACACTTCATGAGCCACCATGAGATGATTACTAGAGCAGGGAGGGGCCCAGCCTGACATTTGCTCTTTCTGCTATGGATCAGAGGGGTGAGGAAAGAGTGAAAGTGACAAAGATGGCAGAAATGAATGAAATCTGGGCAGGTGTGCAAGACAGGTCTGCAGTAGGAAGGGAACAGTGTGCCAGGCACTGCCTAGAGGCCAAGGACAACAAAAGTTCGGAATGACCAAGAGTCTGGCATGAGATGAAGGGGACCCCGATGGGAGTTGTTAGAACAAGGTCAAGGGTGGCTGAGAACAGGGTGTAGATGAGGAAGCAGGAATGAAAGAGCTATTTTGAGAATATCACACTTTAAAGGAAGCCAAGAAGCAGGCTGCAGATATAGGCAGAGGGCAGGCCCAGGGAGTCCTGGTAACATGGTGTTTCCCTGTCTTAGCTGAGGGAGGAGTCTGTAGAAAGGACCAATTGTGGCAGGAGTTGCAGGACCCTGCAGGAGAGGCTGGAGACTGCCTATCTCTGAGGGAACAGCTGCAGCCAGGTCAGCACTGGCTCCCACTAAGGCCAGCTGCATGCTCAGGTGTGGCAGAAAGACAGTGCCAGGCACACAGGCAAGGACGAAGAAGCACGCTGGTCGCTACGTGAGTCCAGAATCTGTCTGCTTCCCTGCTTCCCAAGAAGGGGACAGGGAGGAGGGACAGAGGATGGGGGAAAAGAGGGACCTGTAATGACACCCTGGAGGAACAAAACAGACTTAGGGCTCTGGGCCAGGATGGGCCACCTTCAGTAGTTGGCTTTTCTCTTGATTCTGGCCATCCTTTTCCCATTCTCATGCTGTGACATAAGACTTCCTCCATGGCACAAGGGTAGTCATGGACACAGGAGCTTGCGTGGCCACCAGGTCCTGCTCTTCCAGAGAAGAGAGGGAACACATCCCAGCCATCTAGACAGTCTCTCTCAAGGCCTCTAGGCCAGCCTTCTAAGCACCTCTCATGTCCCAAACAGAGAAGCCACAATGGTCTCTGTATTAGCAGTGAGACCTAGGCAGAGAGGCCCAGGTCTGGTAGACAGCCTGACTCTTACAAGTGTGTGCAAACTGAATTTCACCATCCCATCTTCTTTTCTGGGGACATTTTACTTGGGGACAGATAAAAACAGGAACATCTCAGTGGGTACAGAAGCATCTCTGCTTGGCCGGACTCCCTTTACCCAAAGGTGTCCCAAATCCCACAGGGAGCTCTGGAGAGGATCCCTGCATGCTGAGCTCCCCCACAACTCCTCCCAGAGATTTTCCAAGAGTTGTGGCCACAAAAACTTACCCGAGACGGTGACCACAATATACTGCTGAGCCACAGGGGATGGGGCAGGAGTGGCAGGCTGTGAAGGTGCTGGGGCAGCTGGGAGCTCTGCCACGTACTGCTTCTGGCTGCCCGGAGGCTGTGTCTGGGGCTGGGGGCTCTGCAGCTCGGTGACATACTGGGGCTGGGGGGTCGCTGCAGCAGGAGGCTGGGGTGCTGTTGGGGGTGGTGGCTGGGGCAGGGCCTGGGGTGGGGCTTGTGGCGGCTGGGATGCTTGTGGGGCTGCCTGTAGCTCAGTAACATAGGACTGTGTTGCCATGCCAACAGTGAATGATAATAAATAAGGCGGGTTTTCCTCTTCCTTGAGAAGAAAAGCGGGGGAGAGAGAAACAAAAACAAAAGAAGAAAAAAAAAAAAAAAGAATTAATCTAGCAGCAGAGGTTAACAGGACCAGCTCCCAGCTCCCTGGAGATGTCTTTGGGCTCATCCCTAACTTGATTAAATCCCTGGCTAGATACAATGGGCCATCCCTGCAGGGGGTCCCCCACCCTCATCCTGAGCTATGACTGTTGCTCTTGTCCTCCAACCCCTGCACCCGAGCATGCCCACAGTGCCCCAGGTTACACCTGGGACACCTCTCCAGACTGCAAGTGGCTCTGTATTCCTCTCAGGTCAGGCTTGGGAATGTCAGTAGCTTCTAGAGCACCTGTGACATTTTTCTCACCATTGAGCCAGTGAACACCTCTCCCACTTTGAGACAGGGTCTCACTATGTAGCCCTGGCTGTCCTGGAACTCACTCTGTAGACCAGGCTGGTCTTGAACTTGGAGACTGGCCTGCCCTGCCTCTGGAGTGCTGGGATCTCCTTTCTTTTGGTGTCTGGGAATGGAGCCCAGGACCTTGCCCATGGTCCGCAAGCACTCTACCATTAAGCCATATGCACAGCACTCGGTCTTTTACAGCAGACACTCCCTGTGTAGTCAGTCCAAGCTTGTGAGGAGAGGCTAACCCTGAATTCGTGACCTCTGCCCAGCCTCAGGCATGGCACATGCCACCGTGCCACCTTCAGGTGGGCATCTCCTAGGCCTCCTGCTCCACGTGCACGCCCCAGATCAGCAGAGCTGACAGCCAACACCAATCTTTACACACTTCATTTTAGGATCTAGACTAAGTATGCCAGGTGAGCTTAGGCTCAGAGAAGGTAAGGTGCTAGCCCCAGACACACAGCAGGGAAGTGTTGCAGGCCTGCCTGGGCAAGTCACAGAGAAAGCTGTCTCTCAGAGCTCCATGCCAAGTGACCGGCTGAGTATCCTCACAGCAGGGTGCCATTCACAGGCTCTGAGGCAGTAATGGATCTGTAAGCCCAGGGTAGGGTGCTTCTGAGACAGGAATGCTGGTCTTGCAGGCCAGTGTAGAGCTTTTCTGGCTGGTGCTGGGCCTATCCTAGCATGAGATGGGCTATGCCTTTGGAGGGTGCCCACTCCCAGCACTTCAAGGGGAAAGTACAGTCCTCAGCTGTGTCCTTGTCCTGCCCTGTGCTCTGGAGGTGATTAGCTGTGACCCTGAGCCACACAGTTCCCAGGCTGGACACCTGTCATCTGGGAGGCTCTTCAGGCTGTGCCACACCGTGTCAGCATGCTGACCCTAGGGCAGGGCAGCCTGGAGTGAGGTCTCCAAGGGGAAGCTGGGAGCCAAACAACAGCTACTGCTCAGCAGAGGCTGTAGCTCAGCAGAGGCTGTAGCGCGTGCCTGGCAGCCCCAGCCTCATGCATCCTGTCTGTCACTAACTTGACTCAGTCCTGAGGCTCATGGATAACGCTTCTGGTACTCTTAGCACCAGTGAACACTAGCCCAGAACACCAGCCTGGACCTTAATTACTTCTAACACTCGGTAGACAACACCTTCCCTGTCCTTTCCACCACAAGTCCTGCTGCCTTCCTAAGCTTTCATTAGGATGGCAAAGCCAGGGAGTCAGTGCAGCCTCAACATGCTCCCCGCTTCCCTGTGCCTGCCTCTCCAGGGATCCAAGCTTCACCCTCGGATGGTAAACTCAGGAGGCATCACCAGCAGGCAGGTGAGAAGCAAACCCTGCATACAGCCAATGCACAGCTTGAACTTGACCTCTCCCAGCTCGATGGCTTCAGGGGGCTCCTCCACTGTCTCTCTGTGGAATGGAGAGGGAAGCAGCAGCCCAGTGCTGATCTGTGGAGATCAAGGCACTGGGTTCTACTCTTAACAGCACCACCAACCCCCAAAAAAGGAAGAGAGAGAAAAAGAAGGGAAGGCTGGGCAAAGCACTAAATGTCTGTAACAACCCCAGAGACAAAAGTGATTCCAAGAAACAGGGCCTGCACCACTCCTCACACGTGTGCGTGCATTCATGTACATGAGTATGCGCATGTGTGTGAGACAGCCAGTGTATCCCTGGAACTACCTGGTGCTGGGCCATCTTGTGAGAGCCCAGAGGATGAACACTGGATCAGACTACAGGGCCCAAGCAGGACATGGAGCAGCAGCCAGCCTCAATGCCACCTCACCCCACCCCACCCAAGGACTTAGGCATCAAGCGAAGTTTGGTCATCAGAGAGGGAAGAGACCATAGTCCTCCGCACAGAGACAGCACATCTTCCACTAACCCCAGCTTCTTGTCACTGTTTGTTTATTTTTGTATTTTTGAGACAGGGTTTCTCTGTGTAGCTTTGGAGCCTATCCTGGAACTCACTCTTGTAGACCAGGCTGGTCTCGAACTCACAGAGATTCACCTGCCTCTGCCTCCCGAGTGCTGGGACTAAAGGCGTGAGCCACTACCAGGCTACTTCTTGTCATTGTTAAGGAGCTGCATCCACACCAACTTGACTCAGGGTTTGAAGCCATCAGCATTTCCCCCATGTGAACCTTTTCCTAAACATGTTATTGACTGTTCTGTGCCTTAGTTTACCCATCTGTGACCTGGGTTCACAGGATCACTGTAAAAATCCAATGTGATCACCTTAGCAGCCAGTCAGTACCATGGATAATAAGAGCTAGTACTACCATTCATTCACAGCTATGCATGCACTTCACAAGCAGCTACATGCAGATCCCAGGGTTCTGCTGCTCAGAGTCTGCAGTGGCCCCAAATATATTTTAGCTAGCTCCCCATGACCCCAGAAGTCCAAGACCACCTACCCTAGTCCAGGCTGCTGCAGAGCCATCTGCTCTCTGGAAGGAAAGGGCCCAAAGGTCCCATGCCCACAGCTGCCTTTCTCTGGAAGGAAAGGGCCCAAAGGTCCCATGCCCACGGCTGCCTTTCTCTGAAGTCATCCATCCCTCCCACATGAGCAAGGTCAAGCCTCTCTACAGGGGGATGGATCACACATGTAGATGTGGCATGCATATGTCCCATGCCCTTGAGCATGAGACCCTTGTTTCATGGAAGGCAATACATGGGCAGAGGAGCCTGCAGAGGGTCCACATGCTCTCTGCCAATGGTCTGCCAAACCAACACAGCATGGTCTTCAAAGCCAACGGCTACGTTTCTGGTGAATGTCTGAATCCATCCTTTGAGATCAGGGTAGCTATGTTTGGTTCTGTGGGCAGACGGTTACTGACTCTGCCAATGCAGTGTCATAGAGCAACAGGTGGCAGGGGTACAGACTTGGGTCAAGAAAACCAGCTCGAGACATAGACTTGAACTTTGTGACTTTTCATGACATGAAATTTATATTGTATTATATAGTATAAAGTATTTTTTGACCTTTTCCAATCATCCCAAACTGTAAAGATCATTCTTAGCTCTCACCCACACGGACACAGAGCTGGCACAAAGGTGCTGGGCCATAGAGACAAGCCCCGCCTCTGTAAGGCTAGACTGCATCCCGTCACCAAACACAGGCAGCAGGCTACAGATGGCAGACCCAGGTCACAGATACCAGATTCTAGAACCAAATGGTTCACAAGAGAGGGAGAGAAGATCCACTCTACTCAGCTCATCTGTAGAACAGCTTCGGTGACAGATTTGGAAGGAAGTGGGAAGTTCAGTGTAATGGTGCACCCGCCCTTGGCCTCCTTGTCTGATTCATTTTTGTCAGTCCTCTGACATGCATGCTGGACTGGCTACTTCTTCTTTAGACAACTTTGATTCTGTCTTCACTGGGCCCCTGAAGCACCTGTCCTCAGGGCTGTCTGCACATGCTACAGGGTCTTTGAGCACCGAGCTGTCTCATGTCTCATCAGAGAAGTCTCATTAGAGAACATCCTCAGGACCTGCCCCTTCAGACCACACTGGTTCTCTGTCTAACAATGCTCCTGTTCCTTCCTGCCTCAGGGCCTCTGAACCCCGCCCCCTGACTTGCACTTGCTTCTGACCCTGTCCCAAGCCTAGCTCAGGCCACTTCCCCTGGTCACCATGTGTCCCTCCCCCAATACTCTGAAGCACACATTGCCTTTAATGTTCTTGCCACTGGATAGCTGTTGGCTTATTCCTCAGTTTCTCTTCCCCCCTGAACTGGAAATGTAAGCTCCATAAGAGTCCCCTTTTATCCCCAGTTCCTAGAACCCTGATGGGAATATACTGGGAGTTCCTAGAACCCTGATGGGAATATACTGGGAGTTCCTAGAACCCTGATGGGAATATACTGGGAGTTCCTAGAACCCTGATGGGAATATACTGGGAGTTCCTAGAACCCTGATGGGAATATACTGGGAGTTCCACCCTGTTTTGTTGCTGTTGTTTTCTTTCTTGCAGTGCTACAGATGGAACACAGGGTCTTACACACTAGGGAGGTGTTCTGCAATGAGTCCCAAGTCCACAGGGGACTCAGCTGTCACGGTGCATTGGGCACAGTGTATGCAGCTGACTCAAGACGTGCTGGTGAGCATGGAAGGTGGGCTGGCTGGGATCCACTGACCCTGAGAGACTGGGCGGAGGTTACAGAAGTAGCAGCTGTAGCAGCTGCTGGCTGACCCTGGTGGAGACCGACATCTCTCCTGGGGCCTGGGGCACCACAGGACCCCCTCTCCCCCCCCCCACACGAGACCTTCCCTAGTTCAGGGCTATCAAGGCAGAGGGTGAGTTTTTGTTCAAAAACACTCTTCCTACCTTCCCCACAGAGCTGCACAATCCTAGAGAGCTGTCAGCTGAGCCCAGCTCTCTACCCAGACAGCACTTCTTCTTTTTTCTTTTCTGGATACTCAGAAACAAAAGCCACTTGGGTACAAGCAGAATGGGCAACATTTTTCCACAGAAAGTAGAGCTCTAAGACTGGCCTGGTGGCACAGACCTGTCATCTCAGCTACTCAGGAAGCTAAGTAAGGAGGCTCACAAGTTCAAGGCCTGCCTGGACAATTTAGCAAGGCCACGTCTGAAAATGAAACGTAAAATGGGCCATCAAGATGATGTAGTACATTAAGGCGGCTGCTATTAAGTAACCCAAATAACAAGTTCAAACCCACGGACCCACCTGGTAGAAAGACAGAACTCCTACTAGCTGACACCTCTGACCGCCACATGCATGCTGTCACACACGTGTGCTCATGTACACACAAAATAAATCAATAAAAAGTAAAAACGTAGGGCTGGGCGTATAGCTCAAAGCAGAGCAATTGCCCAGTCTGGGGGATGCCTTAGGGTCAATCCCCAAAAGAGAAAAGCAGCAGCAATCCTGTTCCCAACTGCCTACTGTCAACTCATACCAATAGCCTTCTCTCTCACACAAAATGATAAAAATGAAACCAGACAGGAAATAACATCATTTGAACACTACCATGTATTTGATACTTCATGTGTGATGCATTTCATGGAATCCATACACAGTAATCTAAAGTTAAAATGATTTGTGCCCCTAGCACATGGAGGCCCCCCAAAAGTAACATAATTCACCCAAGAACACACAGCTAGAGAGTAACTGTTTTAGGTAAAAAGAAACTGAGTCAGTACCAACATTCCCCAGTCAAATGACCCTTCTGGGCCCTTCAATTGTGAGCATTGCTGGAAAGGAAGACGTTCAAACAGTCGATTAAACCAGAGAATCAATACTATCACTTTTTGTTCAAAGTCAGCCTTCCCTCATAGGAGCTGAAGACTTCTTTTCTTTTCCTTTTAAGCAACATAGCTAACTCCAGCATCTTCCTGAAAGTTAATGTCCACAATCTGAACTTTGAAGACCCTTTGACAAGAGAAGGGAAGTCCCTGTAAGTGGGAGCCCACACATCCTTGCCTAATTTTCAAAGGAAAAGTCTTTGGTCTTCTTACTGGCTTCAGTGTACAACTGCAAATGCTAGGCAGGCAACGAGCACACGGCCAATAGGAAATGCCACGGTCGGCCTAGTTCGGCACCCCCAGAAGGCAGTCACAAAAGGTCGGGGACTAACAAGTGTTTCTCCTCGCCTGTGATGCTGTACCTGCTCTTGCCACGTGGGACAGGGGCCACCCTATAGCATCATACCCTCTTGATACTGACTTAACATAAACATGTGGCGGACAAGAGACGTGACCTAAGGAATCTAAGACAGCTCTTGGCGCTCTGCTGTTTCCACAAAACCTCAACGGCTGCAGAGAAAAGCCCAGTCTCCAGCAACAAGAGCCCCGCACCTGCACCACTGCCTGGCTGAGACCTGAGACAGCCCCACAGAGGACAATTTCAGAGTCTCTGCACCTGTGGCCTCAGATCACTTCTCTTCAGCAGGAGCTTCAACTTCTGACAACTGAAGCCCCCCAGGCTAAAGACAGTCTGACTGAAACTCGGCCGTCTCCACCTCCTCCCGGGATCAGAAGTGGAGGTCATTTTGCAATCAATACTAGCAATTTACCAAGACTCACTGAGAACAGTAGGCAGGTGTGTGTATGTGTGGCGAGAGAGAGGGGAGAGGAGAGGAAGAGAGAGAGATTGATTAAAGGATTAAGAGCCCTGGGAAAATTCCCAGAAGGGATTAGGAGTTACTGTAATGAAGAAGGGAATGGCAACAATTCTCCCCATTTTATAGGAAGGAAAACAAAGGCCTGAAATGCAATAGTGAGTAGCACGTCCAACTGATGAATCTTAGGCAGGTACGCTATCAAGCGGCTTCTCCTCCTCGGGAAGACCGAACTGTCCGGGAGTCGGCGGCCGCACCCGGCTCCGAGGGCGGAGGGACGCTAAGCCCCGCCCACCTCTCCCGTCACGCCCCGCCCCGCCCGCTGCCATTGGTCCAGCCTCGGCAGGCCCGCCTCGCCGCACCTCCCGACACATAAAAGCGCCCCCCGCCCGAGCCGCCCGACCTCCACTCGCCCGCGGCCTGCGAGCACCCGCCCCTCGTGGGGGCCGGGCTGCGGGCCCGGGGGCGGGTGGTGTCGCCGGGGCCGAACCCCGGCCCCCTCCCCCTCCCCCACGGTCCCGAACAGTCGTCGCCGCCATTTTGACCGCCCGCCCCTTCCCTCAGGACCGCACTCAAGCGACGGGCGCCGCGCGCGGGCCCCGCCGCCCTCCCCGGCGCGCCCAGCCTGCCAGGCGCTGCCCCGGTTACCTCGGCTTCCCCGCACTTGTGTCCGCGGAGGGCTCGGAGGAGGTGCGTGGATGCTGTGCAGAGGGGGCCGAGCGCGCCGGGGTCCCCAGGCCGGGCCGGGGGCGTGGGGGCGGGGGGCAGCTGCGGTTGTTGTTGTTGACTGGCGTTGCTGGGTTGCTTGGTCGCCACGACTACCGTGGCTATGGCGCCTCCGTTTCCCTCACCGGGGCAACTGTTGCTACCCACCCTGCTACGTCACGCGTCGGGGCGTGGCCCCAGGGCAGCGATTGGATGGCGCCGGCCACCTCCAGCACGCTATTGGCCACGGTCCACGCTTTTCAACGCCCTCTGGACCTGGCCGGGCTCCGATTCCTCGGTTCCGACGTCCGTCAGAGGAATCCGAACCCTAGAAGGCAGCGAAGCCCGTCACTCGCGCGGAGGCTGCCCTGAGAATTAGGAAGGGGCGGGATGACGCTCTAAAGCCCGCCTTCTGGTTGGACTAAGGGGATATCAATCCCGTCGAAAGTTTGTCTCGCTCGCCTGCTCGGGGGGCACGGAGCGTCGGGAGTTGTAGTTCCGGCCCCACGTACCGACGGGGACCGCTGGACTTCCTGCTTGCTGGGCCGCTTGTCTGGGCCCTCACGCTCACGTCCCCGAAGGAACGCTGCGACTCCGCGCTGCCCTTCTGTGACGTCAGCGGCGGGGGCCGGGCTCCGAGTTCGGTGACGTCACAAGCGCGTTCTCGGGGTCCGGGAGGGTGGCCGGGCATCCGCTGGTGCTGGGAGAGTTCGGAACCTCGAAAAGGTCACGGCCTCGCCGCGCCGCTATCTCGGTTACGCAGGCGGCGAAAAGGTCCCTGGAAGACGGGGGTTTAATGAGGATGATAAGCAAAGGTCAGCGGCAGTCTGTTCCCAGAGCTCCCCGCCGCTGCGGACCTCAGTTCCCCGAGACATAGGTCAGCCGTAGCCCGAGGAGGTAAAACAGAAACTGCCCCGACCGGAGTGAGTTCCTTGAGCTCAGAAATTAATCATCAAGATAATATTCTAAGACAGTATTTTAAAATATCAATTAATGGTAAAAAGTAAACCCACAAAGAACAAAATGTCAAGTATTGAATGTATTCATTTTGCTGGCACCGACATTAGGGTGAGGTGAGTCTTGGCAGGCTCAGAGTTGGCTCTTTTGCTCAAATATTTTTGTTTATTGAGTCAGGATTTTTTTCTAAATAATATTCAGGCTGTACTTCCCACAGGAGAACATGAGTAACTGTGAGATGATGAATATGTTAATTAGCTCCTGTATAGTAATCATTGTGTCATAACGTATTGTCTACCTCAAAAATGTGCTAAAAAAGCCAAGTCGGGCTGAGTGGCCCTGTAGACACGGTTCCTTTGCAGGCTAAGGCGGAAAGATTGGTGGAGCTGAGGTATAGCAAGTCCCAGCTAAAAAAAAAAAAAAAAAACGGGTTTTTGTTTTGTTTTGTTTTTTGAAGTTCTAACTGGCTTGAAACCCCCTCTGGAGCTGAGGATGACCTTGAAGCAACCCTCCCACCCCAACCCCCAGTGCTGAGATTACAGGGGTGCAGCACCACATCTTAGTTTTGCCACTTTATGCTCATGGAGTTGGGGATGGAGAAAGACTCAGAAATTGGAGCCTTCATTCCACGTCTCTGAGGCTCTGTTTCCCATACTTCTATGTAAGGTTCTGAATTGAGAAGTCTGCCTTTGTCTTGTCTATGATAGACCCCAGTGAACAGTCACAAGTAAGACAAGTCCTGTAGCTGCTCCAGCAGTGGGGGAAGATCGAGAAGGAAGAGAGGGCCTTCTGTAACCAGTGTTCTCTGAGGAGGAGAACCCTCATATGAGGGGCATGGGACAAGCACCACAAAACCTAGTAGAAGGCCTGGGCCACTTTGTAGTCTAAAGCAGGAAGAGCGAATGTTTGAGGCCAGATGAGCTGTCAAAATAAAAGTGAAAGGGGGGCTGGAGAGGACATCTCAAGAGCACCCACAAGGCAATGTGGGCTCACAACCACCTGTAACTCCAGCTTCAGGGAATCAGAGGTCAGAGGCCGTCTTCTGGCCTCTGAGGGAACCAGGCACAGACAGACATGGTGCACAATCATACAAAATACCCACGACATAAAAATAATAATTTGAAAAACAAAAATTGTAACTACCCCCCCCCCCCGTTTTCTGAGACAGAATTTCTCTGAGTAGCCGTGGCTATCCAGGAACTTAGTCTGTAGACCAGGCTGGCCTTGAACTCATAGAGACCCAGCCTCTGCCTCCTGAGCACTGAGATTAAAGGTGTGCACCATCACACCCAGCTTGTGATTGCTCTTAAAATGTTTCTAACAGTTAAAATAAAGGTGGGAACATACATAGCTCACCAATAGAGCACCAGCCTGAAATCCACCAAGAAAGAGTTTCGATGTGGCTCAGGGTTAGCACAGTCTCCACTATCCCCACTGAGGGGCTAGAGAGGTGATGGTAGTGGAATGCATCACTGAGGCCCTGAGTTCTGTCTCCATCACCACAAAACAACGCAGACAAAGGGAATTGCAGAGACAAAGGAGGATGCCCACATCTGGCTGATGCCCCTGGTTGCCAGGTAATTCTGTAGAAATGCAACATCCCAGGCAAGTGACACGTTCTCCCTGGTGACAGACGAATAGTGGTGGCTCCAAGGAATAGAGTGTTCCACCTGTATCTGAAAATGCAGCCTATCCTGCCCGTGTACCTGGGTAGGCTTTCCCATGTCCCATGTGTGAGCTTCAGTAAAAATTACTCCATGACTACCTCAAACATGACTCCTTAGCCTATCCAGAAATAACAGCTGTATGCAGCCCCAAGAGCCCCCCAAGAACCGAAAGACATCCAGGCCAGAGGGCGCAGAAGCAAACTGCAGCTGGCAGAGGAGCCTCACGATTGCCTCACTGCAGATTCTGTGAAGACTAGCTTTCTAGGTGTAGAGGCACTTTCTCTGCACTTCCCACCAATCCCCAACTCTCAGAAGACCCTGAACCCTGAGAGAGGCAGAGCCAAGGCCAGAATGCCTTCAGCTGAAAGAGAAGTTCACAAAGCTTTCTGGGGACGCACCTGACTAGAATGCTGGCCTGGCTTAAGCCTTCCGCCCACACAGCTAGTGCACCAGTTCACAGGAAGTGGAAAGGGCGGAGGTGCAAACGAGAGTGACAAGAAGCCGCAGGACTGGAGCTTTAGTCAATGGCCCTGCATGCTTGAGGACTGGGTTTTATCTCCACTGAAAAAAAGGCAGGGTCTAGGGAGAAGTCTCACTGCTTGCCTTGCAAATACGAGGATCTGAGCATGATGTAATACTGGACATGATGGTCCATACCTGCAACCCCAGCACTGGACAGGTTGAGAGAGGAAGTCCCTGAAGCTTGATATCTAGTCAGCCAAGGCTGAGCCCCATGTCAGTGGGGAGGGGTTGCCCTCTGTACATGCACCCATTCCTGCACCTGCACGCTGTTGTATTACATCTTGGAGGAAAGCTTGTTTTTAAGACACAGTATGTTGGAGAGGCAAAACAATATAATGGTGTAGCCTCGTGTGGTGGTGCACACCTTTAATCCCAGCACTAGAGAGGCAGAGGCAGGCAGAACTCTAAGTTCAATTCAAGACCATGGGGAGTTCCAGGATAGAGCTAGCTATGTAGTGACACCCTGTCTGTATTAGGGTTCTCTGGAGGAGAGTGTGGTAGTTTGAGTGTAATTGGCCCCATAATCTCAGGGAGTGACACTATTAGGAGGTGTGGTTTTGTTGGAGTGGGTATGACCTTGTTGAAGGAAGTGAGTCACTGTGGGGGCAGGCTTTGAGGTTTCATATACTCAGGATATTGCCCAGTGTGGCAGTCGACTTCCTGTTGCCTGCGAGGTATAGCACTCCCAGCCTCTGCCTGCACTCCACAATGCTCCTCATCGTGATGGACTGAACCTCTTGAGTTGTAAGCAAGCCACCACAATTAATTATTTCCTTTATAAGAGTTGCCATGGTCCTGGTGTTTCATCACCGCAGTAGTTACCCTAAGACAAGCAGAATTTGTGGAATGAATTGGATTTTTATGAATATGGATTTATTAGAATGGATATAGGCTGTAGTCCAACTAGTCCAACAATGCTGTCTACCAACAGAAAGAAGGCCCAAGAGTCCAGTAGTTGTCAGTCTTAGATGGTCTTCAGTATGTGCCAGTTTCCAGAAGTAGCTGGTGAAGGATTGGACTTGTCAGTGAAAGGGAGAGCAAGCAGGCGAAGAAAGAAAGAGCTTCCTCTTCCATGTCCTTTATAAAGACTGCCACCCAAAGGTGCGGCTGGCATTAAAGGTGAGTTTTCCCCTCAAAACATCTGGATTCAGCTGGATGGTGGCGGTGGTGAGGCTGCATGCCTTTAAATCCCTGTACTCGGGAGGCAGAGGCAGGCGGATCTCTGAGTTCGAGGCCAGCCTGGTCTCCAGGACAGCCTCCAAAACAATACAGAGAAACCCTGTCTTGAAAAACAAAAACAAAAAC